TTTGAGTCCCAGACCAGAAGACTTAAAACTCACACAGGATGCTTGTGCGTGGGAGCCCAAGATTCCAGGAGGAGAAAGGATTGCGGAGTGGCCATCTTCTCTGTGGGGGTGATTTCTCACTTTCCCTCTCACCATCTCCATCTCATTCCAGCCAGTGCATGTGCCCTAAGAAAAAAAAAAGTCTTAAAAAAAAAAAATATATATATATATATAAATATACTAGGCAAGCTGGTGATGAGGTTAAGGTAGCTGGATCCCACAGGGCCAACTGTGCAGTTTGAGTCCCAGACCCAGTAGCTTGAGAATCAGGCCAGTGTACGTACAAATCCTGAGGAGAATGGAAGAGAGGAGACTGTGGTGTAACTACCCCGCTTGGGAAGTACTTTCTTATTTCTCTCCCCCTCTTCCCCTAGTGAGCACAATTGCCCTATAGCAAAATTTTTTTAATTAAAAAAAAAAAATGGGTATGAAACAAACACCTGACTGGGAGAGAATATTTGCAAAACCCTATCTGAAAAAAGGACTATCATCATAAAAATACACAAAGAGCTCTTAAAACTCAACAATAAGAAAACAACCCAATAAAAATTGGGCAAACACCTCACCAAAGAAAATATACAGATGATAGGTAAGCATATGAAAAGATGCTCAACATCATACGTCATTAGGAAATTGCAAATTAAAGCAATGAGTTACCCCTACATGCCCATTAGACTGTCTAAAACCCAAAAACTGACAACACCAAATGCTGGTGAATATATGCAACAACAGGAACTCTTGTTTATTGTTGATATAAATATAAAATGGGACAGCTACTTTAGAAGACAGTTGGGGGACCAGCAAGTGGCGTGGTGGTTAAGGTGCTGGACACTCCCACATGGCTGACTGCAGTTCAAGTACCAGACCTGGTGGCTTGCTTTCTCACTTTCCCTCTCTCTCCCTGATCAAATTAAAATAAATGAGTGAATAAATAAAATTTAAAAAATAATTATAAAAAAAAAGAAGACAGTTGGGTAGGATTTTACAAAACTGAACACACATTTTTTTTTAAGAGAAGATTTTTACTATAGGGTATGTGCACTTAACAGAGAGACAGAGACAGATAGACAGAAAGCGAGAAATCACCCCTCAGGTGGATGGCCACACCTCAATTCCATCTCCATTTTCCTCTCTGGATTTTGGGCACACACACATATATACCCAGTGTGAGTTTTAAGCCACCAGGTCTGGGACTCAAACCGCAGTTGACTATATTAGCTTCCAGCAACATAACCATTACTCCTTCTGCTGGTCTCAAAACTGAACATATTCTTAGTATACAATCCAGCAATCGGATTCTTCCATATCTGCCCAAATAGGTTTACAACTTGTATCCCCACAAAAACCTACATACAAATATTAAAAGCAGCTTTATTCATAATTGCCAAAACTTGGACACAACCAAGATGTCCCTCAGTAGTTGAATGTTTAAATAAAGTATAGTATATCCAAACAATAGAATATCAATCAGGGCTTAAAAGAAATAAACCATTAAGTCATGAAATGACATAGAGAAGCCTTAAATAAATGTTTAAGTGCAAGAAGCCAGTCCATATCGTACTGTCTGATTCCAACTCCATGACATTCTGGAAAAAGTAACACCATGGAGACCCTAAAAGATCAGTTGTTGCCAGGGGTTTAGAGGGAGGGAGGGATGAGTAGATGGAGCACAGGAAATTTTTAGGGTAGTGAAACTATCTGTATAAAACTATAATGGCAGATTTATGTCATTATATATTTGTCAAAATATATGGAACCCAGGCTGACCTTGTAGGCCAGTGGCTAAGAGAGCAGATCCCACGGGACTGGCTACAGTTTGGATCCTAGCCCAGGCAGCCTGAAAAACATGCCAGGCACATGTTCATGAGTGTCCAAAACCCTGACAGGATGGAGAAATGGAAGAGAAGCAATTGTGGTATGATCATGCCTCACTCAGTGGTGCCTTCCCCTCTCTATCTCCATAAGTACATGCACTCTCTGGCTATTGAAAAAGAAAGAGAAAAAAACTTATGAAACTGACAATACCAAGAGTGAATCTTAATATAAACTATGGATTTTGGGTGCTATAGATGAGTCAATATAAGTTCACTGATTAAAACAAAGGGGCCTCTCTTGTTTAAGATTTTCTTTTTTCTTTTCTTTTTTTTTTTTTGGAGAGGTTTTCTCTAAAAGGCACGTGCGCTC